TCCCTACACTGCAGCAGAAAACAGCTGTAACAATAAACACAACACAAGCATGTGCATGCATACACATGCACACATTTGCTCTCTTACCTCAATCTGCATTGTCTTAGGTTGGATAACATGAATTTTGTTCTTGTAGCCACACCAGACTCTGTCATACACAACCGCCATGCAGCGGATGGAATGGTGAGTGTGACCGAGGTCCATAAGGTGGTAATTACTGAGATCCCACTGACCATCTAAGGTGAAAAACAAGCGTGGAAAAATGCAGCTCCTTCATGACATGTCAGTATACAATAGAATCATCTACCTTTCCATATATATCTAGTTATAAATGCTTAGCTAATAATCAAATGCTCATTTTTCTGATTTTTGCTTATGTCTGTGACCTTCCCACAAATCCATACTACTACTTCAGGCACGGCCTTATACTTACAAAACACATGACGATAAAGTTTAGTTTGGTGGTCTGAAAGCTCTCCAAATCAGGCTAATTTAAACATCCTTTTATTGTAATGAAATGAACAGGCTTCTCTAACAAGTACAACAAAAACAGCAGGGGAAGAAGAAAGATAGCCTAACAAGACTATTCAGAAAGTTAAAAGGAAATGGACCGTACAGTCCTTGTGGTGAGGCTTCCTCATATCACAGATGGATGACCTAATTTTCCCAAACTGTCAAAGCCAGGATAAGGAATCAACCTCCCTTTTTTCACACTTATTTTCTAACTAACCAGGCAGATACTGTGTCCTTCACGGGCAGGTGGCCTCTACGTCATGAAGCGTCATCCTATTTCTGATGGGAACAATTTTTATGTGTCAATGGTCAGGCTTGAACTCATGACAAAGGCTGAATCAAAATTTAGATTGCACAAAACCAGAAATCTCTGTATTTCAGCTTGCTGGACAAACTGCTACTCAATGAGTAATTAAGTTCTTAATATGCAAACTTTAGTAACAGCAAATTCCCACATGCTTTCAGGTATGAACACAGCTCAGAAACTGCTCAAGTCGTAGGGAAACAAAACCTACAACAGTGAAGAGGACAAAAAATACAGAATTGAAAAAATATCTTGAACTGACAAGATTAAGGCACGTCAGATTACTCAGACATCTCTTTTTTGCAACAAGAAAAACTGACCAAATGTAATGTAAAGGTCCCATTTGTTTGGGATTTCCAGACTTCCAGAGAATCCCCGCTCTGCCTGCTGTGTATGCAGTCATCAATTCCACTGCTTACACAGGGTGCAAAGTCTCTGGGAAGCAGTGGGCCTGTTTGCAACTGATCTGATCAAATACGGCCTAGCTGAGCTGTGTGAGCTCCCTGTGCATACTCTGTTACAGTTGATCTGTCAATGCACAGTAACACCGATACGGCCCAAATGCATTAAACTTACCAAGCATGCCTCAAACAACTGCACAGCATATGCATTCCTCAGAGTGTTGCATTTACTCTGCACATACTACACAGCATATTTTTTTGTTCAGAAAAACTCAGGAAATGGTGTTAAGGTATGCCTTAGATGTTTTAGGATAAGGATTGCATGTGTATAATAGCTATGCATTTAAGCATATGTTCGTACTTTGGCAAGCCAGTACCCTTCCTTCTCGACTCAGAATAGTATTTAATCCATTGCTACACTTTCGGCCAAGTTTGGTTTTCTCTTATTACATTGATTTTTACCTTCTCCCCGGTGGAATATGGCTAGTGTTCCATCTGCCAGAGCTACAAGGACTCTCCCTTTCACATGCCTGAAATCACAGAAAAGTAAATACTTTCCAAAATGTGTAGAAGTAAGGGACTAACAAATCTTTTCTGACATCCACACACACCATCTTTATGTTCTCTCTACAATTCCCATTCAGTTTAGCACTTGCAGGAACATCCTGCAAGGGCTGAGGGTCATACCTCTTATGTTTGTTGTAGTAAGATCCTCCATAAACTTCCTGTTGAGGTTAACTTCTCCTTCACACTACAAACTCCATCAAGTTCAAAAAATTCCACCTAATTTACACCCCAGTAATTTCTCCTCCCCACTTATTTCCTCCTGATACTGCTAATCTCATTTAGTACCTTATTCACTGAATTGGGTCAGGTCTGCACTTAGGCAGGAAAATGGCGCAGTATGAGGCTTTCCAATAACAAAAAACTTTCCTCACAAACCAATGCACTTAGAAGAGTAAAGAAAAAGATGACTGACAAAGAGCTGCTACCCCCATCTAAAATATCACTTAGGCACTGAACCTTCTCCTTCAGTGGCCCTTGGCATGCACACTTACACTAGACTAAGTACAGAGTCCTTCAGCTTTATTGAGTGCAGACACTTCTTCCAGTTGGATACAGCCGAGTGCACATAAAGCCTGTGAGAAAGGAAAAATCGGGGAGAGTTAGCAGCAAGGCCCCACACCTTCAGCCTGACTAGGCTTGAGTCTTTTCTTCTGGTAGGAAAGGTGGAGGTTAGGTAAGAAAGTGAGATTAAATCCCTATGCCTATGATGAGCTGAGGGCTCAGAACAACAATCAGCAATGAAAACCTACCCCAGAAACAAGAAGTGAACTAAAGGTGTGAGGATGTGCAAAGTGGAGCCCAGAGGAGAACGGAGGTGACAGAGAGATCTGCCAGCCCAAGGGAAACCTACCAGCCGTTCTGTGCTCCCAGCCACATGGTGGGGGCAGCACTGGTGCAAGTCCCAGCAGCATCCCCATTCGACTCCTGATCTGGCAGTGTTGTGCTTGACTCTGTCTTCAGCTGCCCATTCTCCCTGAAGAGGCAAAAGAATATTGTTAGAGGCTTTTATTAGTAGCAATGCACAGAATGCCCATCTACGCTCACAGTCTGGCATAGTGCACAGATAAGTGCACTTGTATATACAAATCAGGGCTCAGTGTTGGGGCCAGTTCTTTTAATATCTTTATCAATAATCTGGATGAAGGGATCAAGTGCACCCTCAGTATGCAGATGACACCAAGTTGGGCAGGAGTACTGATCTTCTGGAGGGTAGGAAGACTCTGCAGAGGGAGCTGGACAGGCTGGATCAATGGGCTGAGGCAACTGTATGAGGTTTAAGAAGGCCAAGTGCCACGTCCTGCACTTGGGTCACAACAACCCCAGGCAACGCTACAGGCTTGGGGCGGAGTGGCTGGAAAGCTGCCTGGAGGAAAAGGACCTGGGGGTGTTGGTCAACTACTGGCTGAACATGAACTGGCAGTGTGCCCAGGTGGCCAAGAAGGCCAACAGCACACTGGCTTGTATCAGAAATAGTGCGGCCAACAGGACCAGGGCAGTGATCATTCCCCTGTACTCGGCTCTGGTGAGGCCGCACCTCGAGTGCTGGGTTCAGTTCTGGGCCCCTCACTGCCAGAAGGACATTGAGGTGCTGGAGCATGTCCAGAGAAGGGCAACGAAGTGGTGAAGGGTCTGGAGCACCAGTCTGGTGAGGAGCGGCTGAGGGACCTGGGGGTGTTTAGTCTGGAGAAGAGGAGGCCAAGGGGAGACCTGATCACTCTCTGCAACCACCTGAAAGGAGGGTGTAGCCAGGTGGGGTTGGTCTCTTCTCCCAAGTAACAAGCAATAGGACAAGAGGAAACGGCCTCAAGTTGTGCCAGGGGAGGTTTAGATTGCAGATTAGGAGAAAATTCTTCACCAAAAGACTGGTCAAGCATTGGAACAGGCTGCCCAGGGAAGTGGTGGAGTCACCATCCCTGGCAGTATTTAACAGACATGTAGATGTGGTGCTTAGCGACATGGTTTAGTGGTGGGCTTGGCAGTGTTGGGTTAACGGTTGGACTTGATGATCTTAAAGGTCTTTTCCAACCTAAACGATTCTATGACTCTAAATCGCTTCCTTCTCTTCAGTGTTTTTTAATTGCTTGACTCCTGAATCTGCAATACACAAAACATTCTTTTTTTCCCATCAATACAAATAGCAAGTACTTCAAATCTATGGATTTTAACTTAGTGTTTGGCAGTACTATTATAAAAACAGTATTTTCTCTGTTCATTTCCAACTTCAACAGAAACAACTTAGAACAACTTGGTCATCTAGGAATGATTTATACCCAAGACTTCCATCTTGCTCCTCAGGCCATCACATCAGACTCAATTGTCTTAAGAATTTTTGAGTGGCAAATATGCTTTCTTCATTACCTTTATAGCAAATTAGAGGTACTCCTAGAATAAATCAATAATCATTTTTACATATGAATCAATAAGCTCCTTCAGTAAGAACATGAAGTGTACATGTACGTTGGAAGATGTCTTAACAGCAGGTCTAAATTCATACTGGGAGATCAAATATTTGCACTTAACCAGCTGACAGAGTCTGCTGCAGGCTGAACCATGTTTATTTTCATTTCATTTCTTTCTCTCCCTATCACCCCATCTGTAATACTATTTGGGCACAAAACTGAAAAAAGTTTGACGCTTTATGAGAAGATCTGGCTGGTTCTCATCTCAAAAAGCTTATGAAAACAGAGCTGATAAATAACTGAACTGGCACTTTGACCGCAGACTGCCTACCCATTCTGCCTAAGAGATGCCTGTGCCGGGACTGGATCTGTAAACACGTGCTCCGTGAGGGGGCCAGGCCGGGCTTGAGCAGGCTCTGCCTCGCTTGTACCGTTCTCTGGTACCTCTGTAGCTTCTGTTGCCTCCTCAGTAGACTGGGACTGGTTGATCTTCCCATTGCAGACAGCAGCCACCTCACCTAAAAGACAAAGAACAGTGTGAGATGTACTAGAGAATGAGCTGGTACGTTCGTTATATAGAAATCAGGTTGTCAATTTCTAAATTTATCCTTCCTTGCCAAATTCAACCAAGCCCTGAGCCTGCACCACAGACAGCAGCTCATCCAGTATTTTCTGCTTGGATGGGGAATAGAGGCTATTTTAAACAAATAGCACAACATCAGAAGTTCTCCAGGGCTGCCCACTGCAGTATGGAGTCAGCAAGGGCATCATTATAGCTTTCATATGGGCTTAACTGACTTCACAAGAAGAGAACGTTCAGAGGAATGAGAACAGAAGCAATTGTAGCAGGGCAAACATTATCACCTGTCCAAAATACTCTTCTATATGACGCCCGCAGCCAGGCTGCAGGATGTGGATCACTCAGAGAGAAAAGGAGGGCTCTAAAGAGGAACATACCAAAAGGGCTTTTGGTCTTCCTGTACGAAGTTAAGAAACTTCTTGAGGCCTAAGAAGTAGTTAACTCAGGGACAGGAGGATGCAGCTGTAAGACCATAAGCTCATATGGGACTACCTATAATTGGACTGCCATTAAGTTTTATGTCCCCAAACTCACTCTGTCCCTTGTCCAGCACAGGTGTGTCACCACGTGAGGAACAGTTGCTTCGTGGCACATTGCAGCGGGTCGCACAGCCCACCAGAGTGATTCCTGCCAAGACACCATCTGTTCCAGACGACTCTTCAGGATTTACATCTCCCTCCAGAAAGATCTCGCCTGGAGGATAATCACTCTCACTGGCCGCTGAAGGGCAAAGAACAGATTCTCCCATAAATCTAGCTGTCACTGCTAATTTAAATATAGCAGTACTCTTGAGGTAACCATATGGATGGAAGATGCTGACCCTCAGGGTTCACTACCCTGAGGAGGCACCATAGCATCAGTCAACATCATGGTGAATCCCCTCATCCCTAGCATCAACATCCAGGCCAGCTACAGAGCCCTCCCAAAGCTGAGCAAGGCTCACTCTTGCTCCCAAGAACCATCCTTTACGTGCCAAAGGAATGACTTACTAAACATTCAACAGTGAGGGATCTCCATGGAAAGCTCCTACAAGAAGGCAAGATCTGAGTTATGGTTTTGAGACACAATTACAGAATGCAGCAAGGTCCAAGGGTTAGTTCTGAAGTGAGAACACTACATTTTTCACTCCTCAGTGGAGCAAGTGACCCTGTGCAGATCACAGTCAGTGCCTGGGCCCCACTTACCGGGGATGCTGGAAATGCAGAGCACATGAGCATTGCAGACAGTGAACTGGTCCACCACTGTGCCAGGCTGATTGGCATCAATAATTACAACTTTACTTGTTGACAGCGTACTAGTGAGGATCCAGACACGACTGGACGTGGCATCCATTTCATGGAGCTCCTTCGCCTTCAGGAGAAAAAACACAGAGCAGAATCAGTGCTCCTCTCAGATCAGACTGAGTGTATTAGTGCTTGGCAACATTTCCACATGCAAATACCACAATGCCGACTTCAAAGAGCCAAGTCTCTTCCAAGCTGATGCAAATAAGTAATATGGGTTGTGCAAATTTCATTCATGTTGCCGCACTAGTATCTGGAACACTGGCCAAAGAGCCTATAATTTATCTTCTGAGATGTCTGACTAACGTATCACTCAAGATTGGCATTAGACAGAATCCCGTGGAGCTGGGATGCACTCAACCTACCAGCTTAAGCAAGCTGATCTCAGAAGACTATAGGGCAACAGTGTAAGACAGCTGTGGAAAAAACCCACAAACCAGAAAGGATAAAATGTTGTATTATTATCTGCAAATTACAGCTTGGTTCTTAACCAAAAAACCACTTAAGACTATTAAAAAACAGAGCTGGAATAAATCTTCTGAACCAAATGAACTCATGGACTCTGCTATGTCTATGTTCTTTTTTAACAAAGCTTTGCCTGTTTTTTTGTTTTGTTTTTTTTATTACTTTACACTGATGAGGACTCCATAATCTTCCTCATTCCTCACTCAAGCACTTAATTACACTTATGATTAGGATTTTTTTCAAAATTCCAAATGTTTCAAAAGCAGAAGTTGGGAAAATTTTATCCTCGATGATTTATCCCAAATCATACACAAAGTTACTGAAGAGCCAGAACACCACAACCCTGCCCTACAAGACGATGCCTCAGAAGTACAAGCTAGAGCATTATATAGTACAAAGGTACTGAGAGATGGGGCATGTCAGGGATGGAATGAGAAAAAACACCAGAGGAAAAAAAAAAATCCATTTTCTTTTCTGACCTTTTTCTTTTCAGGAGATGTATGGTTACTTTTGTTGTTCTCGCCTTCCACTTCCCTATCGCAGGTGAGGGGATCACGTCCAGGATCTAGTTTCTGTCCATTCCCAGACTCCTGCTCCAAAGGTCTCCATCCCATGAGATTGACTCCAGCTGCACACCACAGCTATGTAACAGAAACAAGAATCTCAAACTAAAAATTCTGGAGGCTCCAGGCTCCCTTGAAATTCAGGCACCTTTGTAAAAAACTGTGGACACATGTCAAACACCTAAATTACCTAGCTGGAAACAACAGAGCTTGTTGATTTCTACTAGAAGACATAGTCAGATCTGATGGAGTTAAGATAAAGGTTCTCCGTAACCTAGTGAAAATCACTGTTTTTTTGACAGATTTGACTAAACAGATTTAAAGAAAATAAAGATAGTAAATTAAGTGCATAACTGAAAACAGGCTTTTGAAATGTCCTCAGGTTTTTCTGACTCTAGGGTTCCTAAGTCATTGCAGCAAAGCAAGCAGGACATGGCAGATGTTACTAGCTCAGGGTACAATAAGAAGGACTGTACAATCAAAACTGACAGCGACTGCTTGGCTAAGGATACACATTCAGTGCACTCCTGTTCCCTAGTCCCCCTCCCACCTCTTGCACTCTTCTGCTTCCTCACGCACTCCTTTGCCCAAAAATCAGTGTTTATCTGATCTTAGAGAGTTATTTAAAGAACTAAGACAACAAAAAAATGAAGTCACAAAAAAAGGAAAAGGACAAAAACAAACCCTGCTGGTTTATCACTCTACATAACAAGTGTAGAGTGAAAGCAGCACACTGCGTATTTTCTGAAATCAAATCTAGCTAACCTCCCATCAGCTATTTCCATGTAGTTTTTTAGGAGAATGCTGGGAACAGAACTACAGAAACAAAATCACAAAGGAAAGATGCTGAACAGAATATTATCCAAAGATCACACCAACCTTCTAGAAACAACAGCGTAAGAATTTTCTTACAACTTAAACATTAGAATGACATCTAAAAATCAGGTCTGAATGAAGTTAATGACAAATTGCCTATTTCAAAACAACTAGTTATAGCAGATAAATGTGCTACCTGCAGAGAGATGACCATCTATTCTCAACTGTAAATCTACTCAAAAGATTGATAGACGCAGCTTCACAAAAATCTGCTCTAGATAATTTTGGCCTGTTTACCAGTGAATCCCAGTCAACAGTGAAATCTAAAAAAGAGTGATGAAATGCATTTTTACTTTCACCTGCTCGTTTTCATGAATTTTTATATTGTGTTGTATTATACCCTAAGGACTCTCAGCAAAAGCCTTAGAAGCATAAAGTGTTGCTGATATTATGTAAGAGTTGTCTCAAAAAAGCGTAAGATGTAAGACAGAAGCATAGGACCTGGCAACCAGAATCAGTTGAGAATTACATCCTTACAGAGAAAGGTACTTTCCCCTACATACACTAGAAACCACCATTCAAAAAAAGGAAGTGGAAGATAGAATTTGGAATATATAAGTAAAAAAAAAACCAAACCAGATTGTTGTAAAAATTGCACATTTAGTGACCAAAATTCTTTGCTTATTCCACGTCCCCTTTCTGGACTGGAACGGTATGCAGAGACAACATACCTTCATGGTGGGGTCCTTCTCTACTAGTGGGCGACAATATACAGGCACGGGGACGTTTTTCATGCGAGTATCTTCCTGACCACCATTGGGACTCAGCTGTGGGGGAAGAAAAGACAAAAAAGACAGTACAAAGCTGTAAACACCAGGGTATGGTAAGACAGATGTAACCAATATGGCAGAAAACTTATTAGCCTCAGAGGTGGGTGCTGCTGAGGCTTCATCTCACATCATGTATGAAACAGAGTTCCTGTAGGGACAGGAACAGCCTACCTGAGAGACTGCCTCTCTCACCGTAAGGTGCCCCAGTTACGGTCAACAGAACCTATACACTGCACTGCTGACAGAGAAGGGGTTGTTAACAGATGTTCCCTGCAAAGAAGTCAGAACACTGGCGTTCTCTTCCACCATGGCCTGAAACCCATCCACTTTGAAGCCACACTGCAAGACTCCTTCCTTTCGGGTAGGCTTTGACCAGTTAAATGAGCTATAGGCCAACAAATGAGGCTGATGACATTTGATTTTGTGTTACTGCTGGGGAGAAGTGGGATCAAATTGCACTATATTTGGTTTTTATACTAAACAATTGGTAAAGTTCTCAGCGTATAAATGAAGTATCTAATGTTCAAGCCCAATTATAATAACAAAGGAAATAAAAAGTACTGGGCTCTGGACAAAGAAGATTAATTACTTTTGATTTAGGATATGTTCTTTCAGCACCTTCATGCATGACTTTGGTGGAGACACAGAAAAGATTAGTTTAATCTGTGCCTACAATTATCATACAAATAAAACATGCATATGATACCTGTAAAGGAAATATTTAAGGACTAAGGCTAAGGTTACCAGTGGGAGAGTTAGAGTGGGAGAGTTCACTCGTTTCACTGTGAGGGACTGTCCAGAGAGTGCTCCCTACCTGCTTGTACTTGGCAGGGAGGCTCCAGCCGCAGGCCTGCAATCGCCCGTCATCGTTTCGCACATGCTCCCGGACCTGGCGGTACTGCTCCCGTTTCTGTTCGCGACGTGCTGAGGACGTACAGTCACTGAGGAGAGAAGCAACAGCATTACTTCTCAATCTATGGTTAATAACAGAAGCTGAACGTTAAGGGAGTGTCACTATGGCAGGCAGAGGAAACACAAAGCAAACCAAATCCATCTTTGAAAAAGATGCAGGAAATCAGAGAGAGAAAAACCCTGTTAAGAAGCAGACATAGGCATCCCTCATCTGTAACTCCCTGTTACCTGAGCAATGTGGCAGGCCAAATCATTGTCATCTCCACTTCAATGCTCCAACAGCCCTTCAGAAACAGGGAATCACCCTTCCCCATAAGACCTACCAATCTATGAGATTACACCAATTTTTGCTTAGCTGTTACAATTTACTGATCTAATGACTTCATCAGGAAGGCATTTTGAGTTCCTCCCTTCTTCATTACAGTCAACTATTTATTTTTCTGTCCGTTTTAAAGCTTTCTCTGTGGACAAGGAAAATATGCACTAACTGCTGTGAAACTGCTGGTTTCAACAGAACAATTCTGGCTTTGCACTGGCAAAGGTTAAAAGAAAAATTGATCTGTGAGCTCTTAAGATATGTTTTAATATAAACAAAGGCTGTTTGAATATCAGTTCAAGCTTTCAATAGGTTTTTAAAATATCATACCAAGGTATGAACAACATAAGCAAAAAAATCCAATCCAAAACAAAAACCTCTACACACATAATGACATATATACTTAAACAAAAGACAACCCCCTGCTAAAACAAAACACTTCCCTGCACATGCTTCTTCCTCCCTGGGGGACGGGATGAGAGAACAAACAGCTTCTGCCAGTGGTTAGTCACATCAATTAATGCACTGCTGAAAAGCACTCAGACACCACACAATGATTATGATACTGTAATCAGATAAAAAGAACAGTATCTACAAAATACAAATTTACCTTGCTATAAAATACAAATTTACCTTTCGAAAGACAATCTCTCTTCTCCTTACCTAGCGCTTTTCCAACAAATCCTTCCTATTGCAGAAGTTATAATACTTTACCATCACATTTTCCGAAGTCCTTCTACAAAAACATACCATGTATGAAACTGTACAACCTCATAACGCTAGAACTCATGTGTTTTGAAGTCAAGTAAAGCACAGTTTTCTCCCTTGATGTCAGAGAAAATACAGGATAGGGAGAAGACTCTGCAGTAGCAACATTTAGAGGCTCTTTTTTAGCATGGTTAAGATTAAAACCAAATATTTTAACCTAAATGTGCTATTGAGAGAACTTTTGTCTTCACCTAAGCTCCTTGTCAACAGCGTTGGGTGAGACACTCCACCCCACTGTCCCAATGCTGCCATCACACTCTACCACAAAAGCCCTACTTCATTCTGTCACACAGTCTGCAAATATGAGTGCAGAACTAGGGCTGACAACAACTCAGGCCTACAGCGGTCCCTGCTGATGTGAACCATCATGGCCCAAAAGCCACAGCAGCGATACGTTCAGCAGCGATACGTTTGGGAAGACAAAATTTGCTGAGCCCATCCATGTGGTAACTGATGAGTAAAAGATCAGGGAGATAAACCACATGAGACAGAAACATATTAACACCACACAGACTTTTTTTAAAGTGGCAAATAGCTTATTTTAAGAAAAGCTGCTATTTGGGAGAGCTGCAAGTGGACCGGGCTTGGCACATAGCATGTGACTCACTCTTCAGGGAAGAACTCTAGGGTGCGGCTGCCGGAGGAGATCTGGCACATGGTGTGACTGCGACGCTGGCTGAACCCTGCTGTTGTTGGAGACTTGTAGTGGATGTTCACAGATGGATAGGTCCTCTTTGCTGGTGGGGGACTCGAGGAAGAACTGAACAGACGGCTGAAGCTGGGGACAGAGAAAGGCCAACAAATATGAGAAAAGGTGCGTGGGGAGACAACACACCATAGATTCACAACTGGAGAACCAAGAGGTATGCAAACAGGGGCTGTCAGCCCTTCATGAAAACTGCTCTACTTCAAACATAGAGCTAAATCCTCAGTTTGATTGACATAAGGTGTTTTTAGGTTCCAGAAACAGATACCTTCTGAAAACAGCCCTTTATTAAAACTGATTGTGAGTGTATGAGTATTTCCATTCTGGGGTACCTGCGACCTTTTTTTGAGCTTGCAAAACAAAACCAATATGGATATTCAGATCTGATCTTAATTTCGTTAAGGACAAAGGAGGCCCTCGAAGGCAAAATGGTTCAGCTAACAACACTGGTAGTTGATGTTTCATTAATATCAGTCTATTTAGTTGCTGCCTAAAGTAGAAATGGCAACGCTTCCCCTTTTCTTAATCTTACACAAACTACCAAAGAACTTACAATTGCCAAATGGTGGATTTCTTCTTCTCCTGGACAGATGGATGCTCACGGGAAGCTCTAAGGACAAACACAGCAGAAGCAAGCTAATTTCAGCATCTCTTACCCAAGTTTCTGTCAACCAGCAAGCCATTTCTATCAAGGAAGCCATATCAAAATTCAGAATTTATTCTAACAGGTTTCAAAACATGACAGAGGAAATAACATGCACTGGTCTTTAATGTAAGCACGCCCAGCCACTTTATGCTTCAATGGTGACACAAAGTGCAAGTAAGTACGTTCAATTTCAAGTTTTATCAACTGCCTGCAATGTTACCACTGCTACAGTACTAATCTGGTAACTACAAACTCCAGCATTATATTCACTTCAAGCCATAGCCTTTAGGATTCATTAATTAGAAGCAACCCTCTTCCCTACAGCTTCTCCTAGCTTAATTAGCACACAAGAAACAAGACAAACAACTGCTCCAAATAATGATGGCAACTTCAGATTTGCAGTCCAGGTTCAGGAATAAGAGAGAAAGAATTAGGTATTAGGAGAGAAACATCTACACACATTTCCACACTGTGGAAAACTTTCAGCACTTCTCAACCCATATCTTGGTTGGGGTTTCACTGACTGCAAGGTCAAACATAGCCAGGTTCCATCCATAACAGCAACCTTCACCAACACCCAGTCTCACCTGATCATCTCTGTCCACCTGACAGCCTCCTGGAGCTCCATCAACCTCTCTTTGTATTGATTGCGCTCCATCAGAACCCGAGCCATTTCCACGCGAGTGAAGCGACGGCGTTGAGCTATGGGAATGTTGTCCTGCAGGGGGGAGGAGCACTGCTTCAGCCAACAAAAGATGGAAGGGGATTCATGTTAGTACAGGGCAAGTCAGGAAACAAAGTCATATTAGTTCTCCTCCTGTTGTGTTAGATTACCCCCAATTTTCCCATATGAGGTGCTAATTCTAGACAAGTGAGCTCCAAACTATGGCCCACGGACCTCTGGGGTGTTATGCAAACCCATTCAAATTAGAATCAGAACCACCACCAAATTGAAAACTCCACCCAGGGACTATTGCCAGCAAGGTGCTTTGATAGTCTGCAAGGAACTATGAGAGTTGACAGTGGTCCATTGGTCCAGAAAGTTTGGAAACCGAAGTTTTAGTTCATTAGCAAATCCAGTCACAAGCAGCAGGGAGCATCATGTAATGCCATCTGTCCTCTCAAGAGGACTAGGAAGGAGGCGTTCTGTTAGTACACACTGATAAAGGTGTAGGGCACAAGAAACTGAAGAAAGGCCTTTTCCTCTTTGGTGACACAACTTGGCCTTCCAATGAGGGCATGTGCAGCTTTGGGTTAGGAGGCAACAGGAATGAGATTCTGTGTCTCTTGAGGAGCAGAAAACGAGAACAACATGGCTAAGTAGGGGAAAATATCTGCCCAAAAAGAAATTGTAAGGATTTTGGGAACTTGTTACTAGAAGTGGCACTGGGTTGTGCCTAGACTGTGGCAATTCCCAAGCTCAGCCTGGCTGGTGAGCACTGCTGAGAGCTGGAATAGCACAAATTAACCAAGTCCCTCTCCAGCCTGCCTGGATTTGGAATAAACCTGTATGACCAGTCAAAACAAAAAGTGTATAAATGAAAAGGAATTTTACAAACATTTTTTTTTTATTATTTTAAAAAAACAGACCTCCTGTCAGTTCAGCTTAAAAGAAATCCAGTCCTCTTCAGCATTTCACAAGCACAACTTGAAAAATTTCCAATTTACCCAAATTCTCAACAGATCAAGTTCACCTCAGTTAAGTCATGAGAATTAGCTAGAATTGAACCTGCTCTGATACCTTTCACGAAGTAAGAACACAGTAATATTGGAAAGAAGTGTATCTAATTTCCTGTCCTAGCAGAGTGACATTTACAAGGAAAACTTCTGTTACCGCTTTGGTTTGCCTTTTTTTTTTTTTGGCTACAGTTGGTCTTTGCTGAAAAGCCTCTACCTCAGTCCAAACAGTTTGAAGAGCTGCCATATAAGAACAATCTATGAGCCTTCTCTGTCTATATCCTGTAACAGGCAGTATTGGCTTATGTAAAACAAATAATGAGAAAAACAATACCACAAGACTGAGATTACAGAACCAATAAAAGAAGGCAGTTACTGCTGCAAAGCTGCCCGTATAACCTGGATTTCACTGCACAACGTCCTCATGGCTTACAGCTTCACTGCCAATGCAGACACAAGCTCTTCCAGAGAAGCCTGACTATCACAAGACCCCGAGAGAAAACACACTGCAATTCAAAATGAGGGAGAACCAAATAAAAGGGGGGTGCTGAGCAGGGCTTCGCTCTAGCACCACTCAGCAGAAACTACATTGTGCACGTTATTGCTACTGTTGACTGCTCATCTTTGCCAAACTATGGTCTGAAAGTCACATGAAGAGGTAATCTCACAGCACCTATTAGCAATGTTCATCAGCAACAACCTGCAGTTCACCAGCTTTGCCCTCATCGTTAATGAAGGCAGATCAATCTGCATCTCAGTACTCATATATATGAAGTAATATAGAGTAAGTATATAAACCCCCTTTCCCCGCAGGCATTTTAGTAATGTAATATACCAATTCTGTACAGAGATAGCTGCTTACATCCTCCACCTCCTCTTTGGGTTCTCGTCGGGCAACAATCGCTTCAGATTTCACTCTAGGAAACAGGAAGAAAGGCATCAAACCAGCAAGTGATACTATGGCTGGCCCTGAGATGTTTTGGGAGGAGAACCACCTATGGGAACGTCTGTCTGCATGCACCACAAGGAAACCTTTTCAAACTGTGAGCTAAGCCTACAAATTGAGATGCTTCTCTGATACTGTTCCCTCTCTCTTGCAGCATGTTTCTCTGAACAGCTTCACCAACATCATCCTGTTTCTTTGGAACATTTGATGTAAGCACCAAAATCCTGATCACTGCAACAGTCCAGCCAATTTCTATTTCAGAGCCATAATCAAATGTTGGATGAGTTCTTAAGCATCAGAAAACTGAGCCATTATCAGCAGTGAAAATGCTGGCTTAGGTTCTTCTTCTAGGCTGCTTCTGTTTTCAGTTGCAAAAAGCCTCTAATGTGAAGGACAGTTTACCATAGTGGTAAAGAAGAGAACACCAAATTCATCTTAATAAAATACTTAAAGTATTTATTGAGTGCTTTTAATTTCTTTAAACTCCATACCAAGGTGCAGTCATGCAGTCCCATTTGAATTACAAGCATTTTTATTAACAGCAAGGACACTGTGGAAAAAAAAATACTGTCTCCATCTCCTAAAAAGGCACATTTGCCAGATAAAAGCCCATGTCCCTACTGCATGATATATTAAATATATTATGTATATTATGAGAGACTCAAAAACGCATTTTAAAAAAATGAGACCTATATTTCCACTGCTTCTGAGACTATTTTCATTTCAGGAATTTTGAACTATGAAGAGACCAGTCTATGTTATTCTTGGTGATTCTGTGCTTCAGATTACAAAGGCAACCTTCCAGATTCCAGCTGCAAAATAAACACTGTCCTCTGAACTGAGATACGCGGTGCAATGCACAGCTAGTCCAAATGTATTTATGTTGCTCTGAGCCCCGTGGGGCTCAGTTTCATGGATGTGAAATCATCACAGGCTTTGCTGGGCATACAGGCTTTGGTTTCTCTAGTTTGAGTGGAAAATCGGAAGTGGGACCTCTCCAAATGCTACCTGTATAGGACATTAAAAATCTCTTCTGCCTCTTCTTCTCATTCTTAACATGAACAATGAAACAATTAACAATGCTGGCATTTAAATATTGTTTGTGGGAATCTGTATTAGCCCTTTCATTAAATGAATGGGCATTCACTCCTCTCAGAGCTGTCTTGGCTGCCACAAGGAGCAAGCTCTTGACAGTTTCCTTCAAAACCAATGGTTTTGAACTTCCTTTATTTTAGTTTATTTTTTTAAAATTGCAAATTGAAACTCTGAACGCTTCACTCCAGGGAACCTGGCTTTGCAGTTGCTGCTGCAGAATCCTAGTCCTGGGGAAGAAAATTCTGGGTTTTTTCTAAGGTTAATAACCCATTTCAATTCAATAAAAACAAGGTAACGCTAAAAATATCTCAGCCAGCTACCATCAGCCTTGAAGTGTTCTTTAAGCTACCTTTAAATTCCAGTGCTAACCTCCATGAGGGAAACAGAGTAAACCAGCAGAGGAGATGGGTTTATCACTAATGTCCTCCCAGCTCCCTGGGACAGGGTGGGAATCACTCACCTTTTCAGCTCCTCCTCCAGCTCCTTGACTCTGGTTTCCATTTTGGCTTTGGCCTGCTTTGTTGCTTCAAGCTCTCCCTTCAACACTTCTTGCTCTCCAGACAGCTGGTCAACCTTGGCAATCAAATCATTCTTCACAACGTTCAAAGCATTTCTTAAAAGGTGTGAAAGGGACAATAAGCAAAAATACCCAAAACCAGCAGCTGTCCAAAAGAGAGACCTGAAACTAAAGTCACAGGCACCACGAGGAGAACTGAAATGAGTATATTTAAACAATTCAGTCCAGCTATAACTTATGGAAAGAAGGAGCTGCAGAAGAACATGGAAATCACCATAATTGGTCAGGATGAGGTTTGTCCAGTCCTGTGTCCTGACTGACAGACCAACATCTCCTTAAGAAGACAGAATACCACAGAAAGCAAGCGTAGGGTAACCTATCACCTGCATAAAATTCAAATCTATTTTTAACAGAATGAAGATCTGAAACACGCTTTCCAGAACTGCTGTTATCTGTAATTGTGGATAATTGTGGATGATGGTGATATAAATAAGCATTTCCAATCAGCTCCAAAATATCTTAAAATCTTTAAAGTTACCAGCTTCCTATCAGTAAGTTCTCCAACTCTCCCCTGGGAGTACTTTGCCTTCCTCTTCCTGGGTGCTTCTTTGCTTTAGTATCTGCTGCTTCTTTATCAACTGCAAAATCTTTGAAAGCTCTTCTCAATAGTAAGTAACTTTTCTTTCCCAATAGCAAACTTTCCAAATAAAAAACTTATAAACAGCAATATCCACCTGGAGGCTCAGAGCCACGTCTAGATTCCCAAGCAAATTAAAAGCTTGCCAGTTGGGAACAGACCCTACCAGCACATGCTCAGAGACTTCACCCAAGTGCCCGCAGAAAGGAAACAGTTAGGAAAGGTGCTTAGAAGAGCAATTCCTCTTCTACAATTGAAGGAACAACAAGTGTTCAAAAGAACCTGTTAAATAAACGAGCAAGCCCCCGTGAGGTAGGAGTTCTGGCCAAGATCTACTTCAAGATGACATGTCAATTATAACTAGGCAGGCAGTTCAGAGCACGCAACAGTTTCTTACTTGGTCTCCAGCAGCTGCGAGTTCTCCAACAGCAGATTCCCCACTTCTTTGCCCATTCCTGAAAAGAAAGGCCAGGCAGTTTTCACCTGCTCTCCTAGAAAAATGAAGCTTGTGTGGCACTGCCTGACTCATGCTTGAGGAAGAGAAAACACTTTTGTTAGGCTTCCCTAGGCTTCTGTGTCCTGCTGTGGAGAATGGAGTGCCTCTTGCTGAAAGACCATGCAGCACTAGCAAAGACACCTGTGTGTCCTTCTGTAGAACCCAAATGCAGACTTTTAGTTTCTTACCCCAACTTTCACAGACTCCCAGGAAGGAGAGCTTCACTAATGCCAGTTAGGGGAAGTCAAGTCAGTAACTCCTGGTTCAACCATGTGCAACCATTTTTTGTCATCACTCATACAGAAAGAAGGTAAAAGTTCACGGGTTTTTCACAGCAACAGCAGAACACTGTCCAAATTGCTGGCCAGATCTGTACATCAGTGATTTTCTTTCTTAGTATAAGCCAAATTTTCTGTTTCTCAGTACAGATTTGGGATCATGGTTGTGACCAGTTTCATGCACATGAAAGGCTTCCCTTTATCAGCCTTCCACTAGAGCAACTGTAACAGGACTTTAGACTGTCCATTGCTCTATCTACCTTTAACAATTTTCTCACAGATGTTAAATATCTGAAGTCTCAGTCCCATCACTTAAGACCCACACTCGAGAAAACATCTGTATCAGACACACTGCACTTTGTACTTGGGCATCAATGTACGACGACTGCAATACGCAGATTGGGTTGGAAGCACTTTGAAAAATCTCGGGCTGAGTGACAGTTGAATTCAGTATTTCATAAAACCAAACGGAAAGGAATTTAGGGACCAAAAGCATATCTGGATTGTTTCCTGCTGCCAGGGACTTGCTGGCTCCCAGGGTCAGCTTCTATTTTACAGTGGGGAATAAAGGCCAGCTGAGAGCTAAAGGCAAAGAGACCTCTCTCTGTCGAGGGACAGTGCTGAGGGTTGCAGCTCATTTCTCACCACAAGTCCCAGAGCTTAAAGAAGTCTCACAACCATCACTGTTTGTGCTGAAGTGCTCCTTGTCCTGCCCTCTGAACTACCTCTTCCTTTATAGCAAAGACATTAACAATTTTCATGGTCTGTTATTTGCTGATTAATTATTATTTGCAATAAAATGAAACCAACACAATCTTGAAGTAAATGGAAGTTAGAGAAACATGGTAGCATACAAGAAGTGAGAACACATCACAACACTCCGACATACAGATCCTCTTCCCACAGTTAAATGGGATGAATTTATGATGGCAAAAGCAAATTCCCAGCAAGAATGAGTAAGAAGCAGCATTTTCAATAACTTTAAAAATTAGTAGACAGATAATTAATCACTTTGATGTTTCAGGCAATGTGTTCTTTGGATGCTGTGTCAAAGTATATTGCAAACAGCAAAAAAGTGAGATACACTAACTGCAGTGTAAACCAAAGTGTATTTTTGGTTTGGTAAGGTGAATGACCTGTAGCCCTTTCTGTAGTGGCATGCCATATGTTGACTGTAAGACCAAAAGGTCATCTGTTTATTATTTTCTTATTCTTTTTTAGTGATTCTACAAATGATGAAATAATTATTTAGCCAGTAAAACATTAAAATGGCACAAGGATGTTACAGGTGCTGAGGG